CTTATTGAACGTATCACCATGGGTTAGCATATTGAGCATTGCCAGCGTCAACTTTAATTCGTAAGGTGCCAGTAACCCAAACCTTTTTCTTCCGCATATTGGTATAGTCCCAAAAGTAATGCACCGCATTCTGTTAAACGCGCATTATAAACCGTACAGCATTTCACAACCTGTGCATTTATCTTTGGCCAAGCGAGAGATGCTGTAACAATTTTTGAAAAATATGGTCATGGAAGAATTGTTAGAACCAATACAGTGTTTTGAATGTGTCCATCCACCAGTTACTGTTCAAAAGATGGATGGCTCTATTCGTCTGTGCACCGACCTTCCAGCGCTTAATCGACAAATAATTGTGGTCAGGTTCCCTCTACCTTCTCTCTCCGAGTTGTTGGTTAATTTTTCAACCGACAAACTATTTTCAAAACTGGATATTCACAGTGCATACTACCACATGCTACTGACTCCAAGTTTCCGAAGGTTTACTGCTTTCCTCATGCAAGTCGGTTCGTAGCAATACAAAATGCTACCAATAGGCCTTAGTAGTGCCTCAGCAGCTTAGCAGAAATTTAGTATTCGATGGCTGCCAGCTCCTATAATATGTGTTGTGTATATGGATGATATTTGTGTTTTTTGTAGTAACTCCACCGAACACTAGGAAAACCTTCATAATTTGCTGCATTGACTGAGTGAGCTATATCCCTGCCTGTATACAAGCAAATGCCAACTCGCTGTAACGGAGAGCGTGTTAATTGGACATGCAATTTCAACCTCGCGTATTAAGCCTAATGCGCAGAACACCAGAGCCATTCTCGGTTGTCCGACACCATGCAATTTTACACAGATGAAACCTCACTTAGGTTTGTGTTCTCATTACTTCCGATATTTACCGCATTTTGCGATTATTATCGAGCCGCTACGGGATTGACGCTTCAAAAGCAGGAGATTCGCTTGGCCACTGAAAAAGGCAAGTTTTACATGGCCATACGAGTGCTAATTGAATCTACTCTCACGGTTGCGATCTTCAATGAGCACAGTGCAAAGTTTGTTTCAACTGATGCTTCAGATGTTGGCTTGGGCTCAGTCCTTGCTCAGCTACGCGATGACGAAGAGAATGTGATTTCCTACTCATCGCGTACCTTGTTTGCTACTGAAGTAATCATTCCACCGGCAAAAAGGAGGCCCTCGCATGCGTCTGGCAATGCGAAAAATGACACTTTTACTTATTCGGACGTCGATTCACTTTGCACACCCATTATTCTGCTCTTCAAATGCTACTAAGTCGCGGTAACGAAGACCAAAAGCCGGTATGCTTGAGTCGCTGGTACTCACATATATTGAACCATGATTATGAAATCAAATACGTGCGCGGGTGCTTTATCCAAATTGCAGACACAATGTCGAGACTAGTACTGTACAATGAAGGGGAAAATGAGGACTTAGATGTAAAAATGATATCGCGTCTCAGACGGAACACTTACAATAGCATTTAACCTGATAGGAGAACACACTGACAAAGACCCTGTCCTAGCGAAGCTTCAGTAGTACATATACAATCCATGGCACAGTCCTACCAAGATCCAACCTGTTACTTGCATACTATACCCTACATCACGAGCTCTCTACTGTGCGAACCCGCATTACTACAGACGAGCAGTTTGTTGTCCTTGCAACCATTATTCTTATGGTGGTTGCATGTGCGCATGAAGGTCATCCAGGGATTGTGCGAACAAAAGCTCGGATACGACAATACAATTTGTGGCCGAAGTTGAATTCCAGCGTCGAGGTGGTTATTCAAGTATGTTATACCTGAAAACAAGCCGAGAAGAGTGCGAGGCCCCTGAATGCTCCAGTCCAACTTATCGTGTACCTCATGAAGCCATGGCAAAAATTGCCATCGATAATTTGGACCCGTTTTGCAATGCATCCTCGCTGCAGCGAAACGTGCTGGTGGCTGCATGCTTCTATAGTAAATGGCCGTAGGTTATTCCATGCGGGGACGTAACTCCAGCCGTCATCCTAAAGTGGCTTCGTTGTTTGTTTGCAAGGTACGGTTTGCCAGAATAAATAGTCACTGATAACGGTCCACAGTTTCGAAGTTCCTAGTATACTGAATTCTTAAAGCGCAATGTTACCAGAGAAATTCGAGGATTGTACCTTATGATCCTTCAGCGAATGGACACGTTGAACGACTTAATCGTACTTTGAAAGATTCTCTACAAGTTAATCGACTCTCGAGTGAATCCGAGAATGATGCGTTGGTATCTGCGTTGGAGGCATACAAAGTCACTCCAAATACTGCAACGACAACGACCCCCCCCCCAGAAGCTAATGCTGGAGCGAACAATTCGCACTCGTTTAAATGCAGTTTTCACATCCAAAGAAACCGCTGATCACAGAGAATAAGAAAGACTTGCTTTTCACCAGTCTAACCATAGCCGCCTTGGAATAACTTATCCTTCACGGATGTTTGCTCGTGCGACACAACCCTATTCCCGGAAATTATATAATGTGTTCTGACCGCCGACCTGTGTGGAATATATGTGCACGCCAGGAACTTACAATTTGGCAGTTGGGACGAAGGTGAACGCAAGCCGACTGCATACAGCGCCTTCTCAACGTGCTATCGAACAAACCTACGCAACTACTCCACAGCGCTCGGTACAAAAGTACACAAACTTATGACTTTCCGGTGGGGGACACTACCCTGTCTACCGCTACTCTTTATCTGATAACCAGATGGCAATTCTTCAGGGTGCTGACAATTAATTAATTCATTCATGGACATGTAGTGTGTATATATTTTACGAACAGTGGCAGGGACAATGTCGTGTTCAAACGCTTTGTTTTTGTCCTCGATTCGCTTATCTTACTCACACTTCTATTGAGCACTCGTTGGCCAATCTAATGAGTTCGCATTTGATTGATTTCAATTAGAATCTGTATCGAGTTAATGGTACTGCGCTTGTGTGCAGACAGTTTTCTCCATTTATCCGTTCCGTTGCTGCTCTAGGCTGTTGCTACTTGGGGATAAAACTGAAATGTTTTGCCATTAATTGCTGCAGTCGGAAAGCAAGTATTGTCCTGCTGGGTCGACTGAAGTATTTCGCAGTTGATTAAAGATGTTGAATTAATAGCACTTTGACTTTGCTGTTACGATATCCACCGGGTTGTGATCAATAGCTGCCCAGCTATCCAGCTGGACTTGTCTCGTGCAGATGATGTGTATATGTGAAGTCCGGTTTGAGCTTTATTCTAATACTGGCTCACCAGGAAGATTCCCGTTAACATTCAAGACCAAGGATAAGGGGCAAAGGGAAGACCAAGGACGAGCTGTCGCTATTTGAGTCAAAATATAATGCTGTCAATTTTTCACAGCGCAGTGGCAGTGGATTTCCACAGCTTCCCTAGCAATATATTTATATATATGTACCTAATTACGGCGCTTTCTTTTACTATGATTTCCTCAGTACTTTCTTTCTCTCTCCGCCGCACATGCTACCACAACCTCTTTCGTATGCCTAATCTCGACATAATTTAGGACAAGCGCAGTGTTATGCTTGAGTCACTCTTAATGGTCAGATTGCTGCATAATGACTAGGACGTTTCAACTCGGTGTTTTCTGCGTTAAGATGGATGAATGGAACGAATCAATTTATTCATGGTTGCGTGGACCCAAAAAGACGCCAGACGAAATGCAGGTGTTGTTCGACATTGTCAGTAAATCGTTATTTATTGCACGCTCTACTATTCGACTCGCAGCTGCTCATAGCATGAAAACGTTGGCTATTATTATTACCTCTAAAGCGAAGTCATACATGTTCGCATTATTACGGTGCACGAGGACATGTCGCAGTTGTTCATGGCTCAGCCGGCCCACAGCCTCCATAACCAGACGCAATGATGCTGGTTACCATGCGCCCTCACAGTTTCCATACTATGTTTCAGGATCCACACAGTGACCGGAGCTCAAAAGCATGGGAACTGGTTCGTGCGTGTAGTGTTTACAGTTTCAAGCACTGGAGCTTCACAATCCATGCAGACCTAGTGTCCGACCAAAGTGCAACTCGTACTGCGAGTGACGTCGAATTGTTTTCCAACATCTAGGTGTAAGTGTTGCTCATTGTGAATGTCAGCAACACGTAGACCCTCCAGTTAGTCATCCTCTGTATGCACAGTTGGAAGCCAACAACTGCTCGTGTTTCAATGTCTGTGTGTGTGTTTGACGGATTCGAAGGAACAGTAATGGATCCCTTAGATGTGTCACCTATCAAAAGCATTCTCATTTTAAAAGTCAGTGGTAGTGATGAAGCCGCTAGCTTGAATGGGCTGCGTTCACGAAGTGATAACTTTGTCCGCATGGGTTGGCTGGTATTGCTGGGACAGTGAATCGTTAAACATGTTTCTACTTGTGATAGTTCAGCAAGCAGAGCTATCAAATCCCGTTAAGTTGAAAGTACAAAAACACACTACGCAAGGGCAGAGTAGAGAAAATCCGTGCAAATGGAGACCGTGAGTATTATACATCTGTCAGCATGTGAACAAGTACTATATGTACACATAAATTAAACCCAGTTTAAAAGGGGCACTTGTCTAATTTACTTCCAAGGAGCATGTTTAAATTGGAGGAGAAGCTGACCGAGGCCTACTCGCAGCACCGGCAAATTTCATGCCATTTATACAGATGTCTACATGCGACCTCTTGGAGAATATGAAATAAAAATGTAGCACATGATTTCAAAATTTGACGTTTGTTTCAAGAGAAGATTTTGCTTACAAAGACAACATGTCATCGGTACAATAGTTGAAAAGGTAAACATTTGTTCACATCAAACTTTTTCAGCTAAAATTTAATGGGCGTATTAACAGTAAAAGTGGAGTTTGCATGTAAAACAAAGTGGAAACAACGCCTTAGTGATTGAAAGTTTGGTCACACCTGTGTTTTTGTATCATATTCTCTTTTGATCGGTCGCTTTGCAGCAATGTAAGTACCGATGCATTTTCTAATAACCCTTGTGAATCGGCTCGGGCACCACGTTGAACAAGCACCGGCCTGGCTTCCATGAATTCAGCTGCAACATAAGCTGAAGTTGGGCTTCGTAAACGGAAACTTCAGTTGGCCTGATTAGAACATAAGCAGCTAGGTGGTTCTCCGTAACTTTATTGATCTTGTTGCAAGATTGGATTATTTCGGAGGATAGGTCTTTGAGCTGAAGATAAGCGAAATGGATTAGCAATGCATAGCATTTTCCCAGCAACGTATTGCTATCCGAATAGAGCTGTTCACAACACACAACGTAAACAATTAGGAGTCAATCTATCTTTATATCAAAGCCTAGGCCATCGATGGATAAGCACTTACTTTATTGCAAATGATGCTCTCCTGATTCTTTACGTAGAGACGCTCCTTGATTCCTAGTTTGTGGAAGCTCACGATAAATTCTATTGCAACGGAACAAGGGTTAATGTGATGCTTAGCGACTATGAAACTATTGGTAGGATAGAAATGTTTAGCAATTAATGATAGCAAAATACAACTCGGAGAACGTTCGCCGCAGCTATATTCAGCAAGACTGCAACCAACCATACAGGAAAGCGCTAGATCAACGTTTCGTCTAATTGGCTCTTGTCAGAAGGGAGCGCGCGCCGAATCTTGCTGGATTCGAACAAATGATCTTACCCTAACTAGCCAGCAACGTATGTCACTGCGTCATAGTTAACGGCGGCAGATCAATATACATTAATATATAACTGCGATGTAACGCAGGTCATGAACTTGAAGAGGAAAAGACTGGCCCCTCAGTGCTGTGAATTTCTTTTCAAGCCACCACTTCCTTAAGTGGTAAGTAAGTCGCTGCCCTAACGCGCAAATTCATATCATTCATGAAAGTCTACCGTCATCTAACTTCACTCAGCGACATAAGTTGCTGGCTCACACGAGTAAGAACATTGCTACGATTCCAGCAGCATTCGGAATCCGCGCGCTACTCATGAGACGCAGTGGGACGAAACTGTCGTCTAGCGCTTTACTGAATGTTTGGTGGATGTCTAGCTGTCTAGCTACGGTGAATCTTGACAAATACCAATACATCCTCCTACGAATCGCTAATAAAGGATGCGCCATACAAATACTTACACGGTTTTAATACAAATTAAAAGCGGATTCCTATGATGTCCATCGAATTAAGTTCCGTTGCACTAACTCTGTTTAAAGGTCAGAAAGACAGTCGAATATCTGTGGTTTGACTCACTGAAACGTTTTCCATTCAAATTTGTGTGCGAAGGTACTGTGGAACACAAATTACGTACGCAGTAATTGTTGAAAGCCTGCGCAACATGCGTTACACGATATACCCAATAAAGCAAAATTTTCACGGGTTCAACTTACAGGGCCAATGTAATAAAGAGATTTAAATCATATACTTTTGTGCATCTGTTCGTTAGGTGTGCTTATGGATTTGCTTAAGAATTTGCAGACGAAGTTCAATTATTCTGCAGTTGGGTTCGTTTGACATTAGCATTGATGGACACTGAAGGGTTTATGGTCCCAGAGTAAACCAACGCATGAAACAATACACTCTAATTAAATAACTTGCGCACTTAAATACAACAAACATTGAGAATGCTTAGAGTTGAATACGTAGTAATAGTGTGAGCAAAAATAGTGGCTGTGATAAAAAATTGTTGGTGTTAGAAGCATGGTTAGAGCGCTTAGAGCCGTCAAAATGTCCTAACGAACCGGACAGTGTATTGTACAACTTCAACTTACACGACACATGCAAACAGCCAACAGTATAAGGTGCGGTAGTGTTTTACAATTTCTGGTCCTCCGAACCCGCTAAAGATCCACAAGACACTAACAGGCTGCCTGTGGTATGAAAGCTTATAGAATATTCCGCCTTGTTCTCCTTTATTGAGGTCTAGTCCTGTGATTATAGACATTTAGCAAGGTACACTTTGCAATTTATTACTAAAACGTTCCATGGCCCAACAGTATTGAGAAGCGTGGACCAAGGCAAGCGGGTGTGTTAGATTAAATCTTCCACATGAACAGCGATCTCATACATACGGAGAAGCGTAGAGCATTTAGGGTGAGTAATATTCATGGTGATAGCTACGCTACGGCATTATATTTTGGTTAGCGGACATCCGAACGTAAGATTTGCAAAGATGGCTAGTAAAAGCTTTATAGAATATTACAAGGTTATGCTAACATACTAATATCGTGCGTATCTAGATTAAGTACCACTAAGGGGCAAGGAGATTAAATTTAACTTCAGCTAAGCATAAACACCAATGTCGCATCGGAATTTATGCTAGACAGAACACTATAAAGCCAACATTAACTGAAAATAGTGCACTTGTTGGTGAAAAGAAAACATGAGATTACTAGCGACTGATGTCTGCCCGAGCGACAGACAGCTGTGGTATAAGCTGGGTACTCAATTCAACAAGACGTGTAGTATTCTACACTCTCGCAACAGCACTAGACTTCCTTTTACTGCTATCCGGAGTCAGCAGCCACGTGTAGCTATCAGCTGTGTTAAAATCCAAGCCACGACTGTTAGTGGCTAGCTTCACCATCCTGCCGTTTGCGCCCCAGATGCGTTTGGGACGGTGGGGGACTGTCATGGATTACCAGCTGGCTGTGATATGGCGCATCATAATCCACTGGAACGTAAGTTGCGAATGTTGGCGTTGAAAAGATTGGTCCCTAGGCACAAAGCTTTCACTAACAATAGATATCTACCACATCATTGTAAGCTGTTATTTGTTGCAGGAGTTGCAGGGTATTTGGTGCAAGCAGCTGGCGGTCATGTGTTGGAATCTAAGCGAATTTGACGAAAATCCACTGCTGAGAAGTCTCGATGGGATGAAATGGCCGACTGGTGTTTTTGCGAGCATGTAAAGTATTAATTGATTTATAAGCGGCTAGTGGGCGCCGGGAGTCAATTGCATAATCTACTCATTAGTTTACCCTCACTATGAACCAAAACGGCGTGGCTAAGATGAGCCGCGATCTGTACTGCCACTGCCCGTTTACTGAATCTACTCGCTTCCAGGTGATCACGCCCCGCGTAGAATAGCGGGCGAAAGAACATCAAAATGACCACTGAGTTATTAGTGCCGGCCTGATATGTGCGGCGGTCGCAGTGGCACAGATTTTATTTACTCCACGGCCCAAAACCTGTAGGCAGTGTTCTGGGGTATGTGTGGTTAAGTGCCTCGTGAGGTTGCTATTGTTACTTGTCTCACAGACACGGTAGGTTTCCTCATCTAAAACGTGATATCTACAAAAAACGATTATTAAGTTGTAGAGGCAGCACGTGTTCGGAAGTGAAAATAGGTAATTCGGTGTTCTTACCAACACCCATGAAGTTGCTGGTGCAACGATCACACCTTGCAGCGGCATACTATGAAACAAATGTGACCATGCCATGAATAACGTAAGTGCTCGTTGGAATTCGCAGCCTATATACATGTTTCTAATCGTTTCTAACTTGAACAAACATGTAACTTTGGGATAAAAATTTTCCTTTGAGCACCGTGCATGGTATTTCGAACTAATGAAGGAAGTCAAGTGTACTTAAAATTCAGCACAACATTTCGTATTTTTCCGTGGTATTTTAGCTGTTTTGGTAGACAAGCTCCAGACAATATGCTTTGATTTCTTTTTTGACTCGTCTGTTTCACGCATGTTTTAAATTGGAAGATAATTTATCCTGTTAGACAATACTTTGCGCTTTCTTGTGAAAATTTAAAACCAACCTTTAGCAACTACCGTCAAGTCCATAAGCTCTGCTATTTTCACGGAACGCTCTTTTCTAACCCAGTTGTTTTACGAGTGTTGACCCTTAATTAAGAGTAAGAGAAAGGTGATAAGATGGATCTCGTTGTGTTAAAGTTCACGTTCTAAGAAGCTTGATGCACTAATACAGATTCGTAAGACAGACAAATTTAAATTCGCGAGTACATGCTCATTTACTATCGAGGTAGGGCAAGCAATCGGGATTGATATATAATGTGAAAGAACAACTTTTGTGCATTGTTTATCATGGAACTGCAGGATTGATAAAACTGGGCTTGCTAATGCAACAGAACGTAGCTCTCTGTGCAAAGTTCGGTTCGTTAATGAGCAAAACCTTAGCAGCTACACTCAGCCAGACCGCCACCACACATCCAGGAAAGCGCTAGCTGGACGTTTCATCCTATTGGGACTCGTCAGTAGCGCGCACCCACCGAATCCTGCTCGATTATAACCCATGACATTATAAGTATGAGGCAGCGACTTATACCGCTGTACCGTGGGTGACGGTGGTGGTGCGCGGTGATAGGGCTGTTTATGAAAGTGCATAAAACAAGGCTGGCCAGTGGGGCTACGACTTCCTTTGCAAGATGCCATTAATCGAGTTGGCATGTAATGTGGCACGTTATGTCGCAGATATGCCACGGTCACGGCGATAGCGGCTCATTGGCATATGTTGCTGGCTCATAAGAGTATGATTCTGGGCTGGAATCCAGCAGTTTTCAATCGGTGTGCGTTGTTGACGAAAACGAGTGGAGCAAAATGACCGTCCAGTCTTACTCTGAATGTGTGGTGGCAAATTGGCCAAGTCTTAATAAGATGAATCATCACGCAACCCCAATAACTTTTTCGAAGCTCACCAACAAATCCTTAAATATACATATTTGCATCAGTTCTCTAAATTTTTAGTATTGCAAATACCATGTGAATTGCATGCATCTACCAACTTTCCTCATTCCATTTTCATACCCCAGTTCGATGGAAAATCTCTGCTTAGATTAGTTGTTGCATATTAACCGTTGATATATATCTGGTCCGTTCTCTCATATCGTTTCCCAGCAAGAGCCAAATAGAGCGCTTCATATGCATAACGCAATCATATACTGCACGATATTTTCAGGAACCTTTCAAGCGCTCTGAACAGTTGATGTTTTTTAGTGGAATTACGTCAATGCTATATGCGAGGAAAATGTTGTAAAACGGATTCATTACAACAAAATCAATTGTAGTGAAACTAGTGTGATTAGTTAATACTGATGTATAATTTCTGTGCATACCATAAGAGGCAGTGTTCCGTCGTATTTGTAAGGGAAATGTGCAGTTCACGTGAAGCTTCTTCAACCTTCTGACAAGCATCAAGTCTGTCACTTCTGTTATCGGTTTTTCGCCCATGTGGTTTGGGATCAGCAAGTTCAGTCTTGCAAAGGTGTACGGAGGATCTGCAACTGCCTGTTCAGTGAATTCCACACGACATTTACACTGCTGGGATGCAAAGAGCACAAGCGAGTAGGTCGGTCAGTGTAAAGCATGTTGTGGTCGTTTGACAACTAATGTTTACAGTTAAAATGGCATTAACTCAGTCAAGGATGCTAGGACGTGGAAGCAGTTAAACATATTTATCAAATACGCATAAAGTCTTGCATCTCAACTACAATTGTACCCGTTTCAGGAAAACGTCAATTTAGTTACTCACTGTCTTATTAATTCTTTGGATCTGTGTAGGTAAAAAGTGAACAAAGAGTGGTGTTACGCTTGTCTTATGTAAACTAGCGGTGACTGAT